TTTACTCTAAAAAAATATGAAATTTTGAGCAGACTAAAGACACAACCTACCTCCTCGAAGTATTGGTTCAAAAGAAAAAATTTGGTGCTAGCCACATTAAAAATGCTGAGAAAACCACTACGGGACATTCTGAGCTTCTGATTGGTTATTCATGTCATATACAGAAGTTAGTGTATACGAGGGAGGGTTTCCAAAAATGGAAAGAGGTGGGCAGGGTGCCACTGTAATTAATTTATTACATGAGCAATAGCTTAGCAAACAGAAAAATCATTCTTATTTTATATTCTAGCTTGTCACTATCTGTAACTTGAGTTTCTAATTCGTATGAAACTGAAGACTTAATATTTTGACTTTACAAACAGCTAATTTGAACCAATGCTGCATTCAACATACCATGTAACAAATAATGCTTGAATATGGCTTGAATAGGTAATGAATAGTTTAGTTTTATTATAATAAAGCAGACCTTATAACTTGATATCGTATGTTTGTCAGTTTATTTTTATTATACTAATGTAGACCTTATAACTTGATATAGTATGTCTGTCAGTATAGTGTTATTATTATAATAAAGTAGACCTTATAACTTGATATATAATTTACAATGTTTAAACAAGATTTTGTCATCATCAGGTACCTCCAATCATTATTAGTCTCAAAGTGGGTTCCTCGTCATTGAATTTGAATACCATGTGACACACAGAAATCAATGTTTATCTGTTTTGGTAAGAAATTGCATAATGTATAGTTCTAGAATTTGTATTATAATCTACAGTTTGATACCAAACTTAATGACATAAATTTATGAAATAGTAGTTCAATAAAATTTTTAATGTGAGTCAACAAATGAGCTGACATGGCCTTTCACCTGTGACCCATCTTGAAAGGGTTAAGAGGTTGATATACAGAGATGACTCTGCTACTGACCAACAGTCCAAAATCTCCTACATGTTCAGATACGCACCCTAAACCAAAAGAGAAGTATCTGTGAAGATGTGCACCTCCAGAGAAGGAGGAGGAAGAGAAACAGTCACTGTGGTGTTGTCTTGGTTCAATCAAAAGGCAAAGTTCACATGATGTGAAGGAGTAAGATAAATAGAGGTGTCAAAGGGATATTAAACATGGTTTCACAGATCTTGGAAAGCCCACTGAAGTGGTCGCATGTGGGCTCAACTGAGGCGAATGAGAGCCTCCAAAGAAGACCACATTCCCAAAAAAGATAGACCCTCTTGTACAGTTGGAGAAGGAAAAGAGGAAATGGTCTGCACCAAAAGCTCCATATATTGCAAGCAAAAGGAATAAAATTTGGCCCAGCTGAAATGGGAATTGAAAAAATTTCCTGAGATGAACAAGGTATTGAGTGGAGAGAGGAAGGACTTCACAACCTTGACCAGCCAACCTAACGATGCAGCTTCTTGAAGAGGAAACTGAGTGTGAAGGGAAGAGATGGCATGTAAAGGAGCAAGAAGAAGTCATCTATGTAATGGTAGAATCAAAGGACCCTGAAATGGAGAAGACAGGTAAAGGCCTTAATTACCTGACAAAAATGTAGGTAGCCAAAGCCAGCCCAAATGAAAGAGCCTGGAATTGGTAGACAGAACCCAGATGGACAAAATGAATAAAATGCCAGCATGTTGGGGAGATGGGTATGTGGAGGTAGGCATCCAAGACATCTACCTTCTTCATCAACAGACC